TTTAATTTTGCACTGGAAGAGTGGGGTGGAAAAAAAATATGCCCACATATTTCAATCTCATCAACATATTACGCAACATATCAACAGTCTCAAAGTATTCCTACTTTTGTTTTATTTCCTTTCTGTCTGAATTTTTATTATCCCAAAACACCACAAGAATATTAATAGATCCTGAGCACAAATATTACGGCCCCCATATCATACCTGGACTAAATTATTTATCGAACGGCCGGAGGCCGTTCGGAGATTTTTTAGAAACTATAAAGAAAAGATAGTTTTATTTACTTATAAAATCTGAAAATATTAAGGTTGATTGTTCAGCTATAAATGGCAATGTGAAGGATTTTGACGGCCTTTACAAGCAGTTGGATTACAATTGTGACAAGGAAGGCTTAAGCATCGAATGCACGATTTAAGTTTTTTTTGTTTTTTTGGTTTTGGCTCAGATGTTTTACAGGCACGTGATGTATGCAGATCCAAAGATCGAATGGCAGGATGAATACGCTGTGGCGATTGGGAATTGCGAGTGGAGGTAGAAATTTGTGTTGGCGAGATTGTTCTTGGAGCTATGTCCGTGTATGTATTTGAAAAGAGCAAAAAGTTGGTTGGCTCAAGATGCTGAACTTGAGGTCGATTAGAAGGTATGATTGCATTTTCAACAATTTCCATGGAGGTTGCGTTGATAACTTCGATAGATACGCGTTCGGTTTTGTATTCAATATTTCGACCATAGTATGATTTGAGATGATACGGCGTTTTATAAAACAAGTTTTTACCCGAATTGTTGTTTTCTTGGCTGTTACAAAAACCTGACCAAATGATACAGAAATCCTCCCAGTTGGGCTCTTTCCCGTTATACTGAGGGTTTCTTTCTAAAATAGTTTTAAAAAGTTTTTTTTCTTCCATTGTGTTCACAGGTACAACAGCAAGCGCGACGTTTTGCAGTAACGCAAGGTATTCATATACAGATTGCTCGGTCTTGTTTATGTTTACGCAGGGTAAAACAGCTACCTGTTCAGCAATGCGAGTATATACATTCTGGCTGTTTATTCTGGTACCTGGCTCCATTCTGTACGTGTTTGCCCAATCTAAGGGTATTTGACACACTCCAAAAGTCTCGTATCCATCCTTGAATGACAGAGTGGTCCCATCATGATTATGGTAGGTTCCTTTAAACCTGTGGCCTAATTGCATCTTAAGCTTATTTATATTTTGAGTAAGCCAAGGATTGTGGTGGCCAATATGCTCCACTCCAAACCTATTTCTACAACCAACCTTTTTTTATTTGATTAATTGTCATATAGAAACTTTTTTTCTCCTTCAAATAAACTTACTTCGATATTGTGTCTCAGTCTATACTCAGAAAGAGCGCAATTAGCAAGTTCGGGAGAACTGTTGAAGAAGCCAAACTTGCGAATTATGTTCCGGTGAACACCCCCCTATTGATAATAAAAATTGAGAATCTTGTCTACAGTAAATTAATTATATGAGCTAAACAAACCTCAACACTGGAAGTACCTCTAAGGCATCGGTAGATATTCAGTCCGTACTTGTCCGTTTTGATATGTCTGTACAAAGGTACACCTACAGGATCTGAGACATGACCAGCTTCTATTTTCCGCAGAACGGCTTCACACTTCTTTTTGCATAGGTCATCAAATAAAGGCAAATTTTTACGAGGGTCGTACCACCTCGAGCATTCATCGAACAGTGTTTTCATAACTGGATATAGCTCATGAGGTGGAGGGACAACTCTCCTAACTCTTTTCAGAAGCCACGAAGAATGACACAATAATGTTTCTTCAAAGGTCGTTTGGAGCTTCGTTTCCAGAACATGCGATACTCTCACCTTATCTTCTTCGTTAACAACAAACAATGCATCCCTAAACAATCGCTTAAACTCTTTTGAGCAACTGTGAAACTTGGATTCTGGAATCATGTCCATCAGATGAAAAATGTCTTTTAATACCCTCGAGGGCAACTCAGGAATGGTGGACATTGCATGAGAGCTAGGAGCAGGTGCATCATCATTATTTTGACTAATAGGTGGTATAAGAGGATCGGCTCGGGAGCAAGGGGAAAGAAAATATTTCTTTAAAATATCAACTGATGCTGTCGTTATCAAGTTTGATACTTCGACCACCAAATAAAATTGGGAGTCATTACCCCTATCCACAGATGTTGCTGTCTCAAGGTCACCAAGGCACTTCTTTTCAGCATTTGGTAAACGTCGGGAGTTGTGGCATTTTGCGATCATGTTTCTTTTGACAACTGAGGTGACTTGAACAACGATGCATTTTCTTCTAACTATGATATCTGAATTGGCATGCGAATCAAATTGATGGCTTCTCAAAAAGAAATGATTATTATCCTCTTGATCAACAACAAAACCATATGTGCATGGGCTACCAGAACAAGTAGAGCTAGCGTAGACAGCAACGTGAGCTCCCGTTGTAATAAATCGGTAGTATGATTTAATAAAATAAAAAATAAAATAAAAAATAAAACAAAGTACATAAGTACGTTTAGAATTCCTTTATAATTTTATTGACCAAGATGTTAAGATAATAATTTGGGGTCTATTTATACTAAATGACAGCTGGAAACTAATTTCATATTTGACAGTAATTAGTCATCAATAAATTTCTTCTTTGACTGTCGAATACACAAGTCAAGTTTGTGTTCTTATGTCGGAATGGGTATATTCAGATCCTTTCAATATCACTGGATCTTGTTACTTTATTTACCGATAGATCTGTGATACAGACTATTTCCATTTATGTCAATTACATCTACTTTTATTACGTATACGCTATGTGGTTTGGCACACCCGTATCTAAAGGTGTGACCTTTTGATTTACTCGAGGAAGGTGATTAATTTCTTTAAATATCTCCAAAGAGACCCATGCATCCAAAGCAGCGTATTTGATCTGCTCAGCTGATAGCGTGATGGCATCCCAGTTGCTTGTTCTGACATCTCCTTTAGGAAGAGTGCGACCGAGAACCATACCAGTTAGCGCTGCCAAAGAGGAGTCTTTTCCGATTGATATCAGTAAGCCTACATCATAACATAATCGATGGAGCTCTAAGAACCCATTATAACTAACACCATAGTCTTTGTGCATTCGCTCTAGATCGGCCTCTACGCTACGACCAATCTTAACAATATTTTCAGAAGCTAGTAATTCTTTTAGTCCTACAAGGAATGCTTCTCTTGATCTCATACACCGGCTTAATTGTATTAAGTATACACAGTTTTGATATGCAACTTGGCAAACACCAATTTTTTGATAGTTGACGAGCCACTTGCCATGCATGTTCATTCCACATCAAAACCAATATGTACCTTGTGGCCACCTCTGCGATCAATATCCATCATGATTTCATAACATATGCTGTTTATAGTTGTAGAATCTTTACAGCAATGAACAATGACAGACGAAGGCAAGTCTGGGCAGGCTGGAAGATCTTTCGACTACACTGCTATGATCTTCGATACGTCTGACGTTTTCCTTTAATGAGGGTAAGACCGATTCCAAGAAACTTCTGTCAGCATCGACATTGTCTGTGAAGTACACAGTTGGTTCCTGGTGATTATTCTCTCTGAGAGAACCAAGCATTTTTTCAAAAGGTCCCTTTAAGAAATCCAAAGCTTTTGTTGGCGTCAATACCATAATGCGGATTTCATCATATTCGTTGGTGACGGTGTATAGACCAGTAAACGAAGGACAATTATTGATACGATACATTTTTTTGTTGAATTTGTGACTATGGTCCCCCTTTAACACAGTTCCAGAAAGTGTACTTGTATACTGATCTATCAGCGGAATAAATGTTTTAATATATTGCGTATACATGAATGCAATATAAGGAGCGGAGGGGATCTTTCCAGCGTACTTCATAGGATCATCAAAAGAGGAGAATTCATCAAAAAAAGTAATCTAAGGCTGGAACGGCGCTCTTCTACTTTGGTACTCACTTGCAGAGATCAAATACATCTGCTGCAATTCATCATAACGTTTGTGATGCTTTTCTGACAGGGTTTTTTGAATTCTGCCAGGACCATTGGAATTCTGCATGTCGTATTTGGGTACGATTCACTTTTAAATAAATACGCAAATCGTTCAAATAATTAAATTATGAAATAAAAAAGAACCTTCAATGTTGCATACCAGCATACAGATGTATACTGCTACACAGCTTCTCCTACTTCGAGTACATATTTCTATATTAAAGATTACATGATTGGCCTAAATACGATATACGAATGACAGTTGGATACAAAAAGCTATACAGCTGAGTTACCATATCACCGATTGAGAAGAGAATCTTCTCAGATCAAATCAAGAATTATAAGAAAGAGAAACTTAATATTAATAGTTCTCTCAATGGCTTAGCTACCCATAGAGAGAATAGAACAGCTATTAGTATAAATGGTTCATTTACTTATATGTTGATATAATTATACTGCCTATAAAGAGTATAAAGAAATAGTGTATGAATTAATCACCCTGAAACTTTTTACCGGTCTAAACATATTTTGGACCGATACCGCCGGTATCGGTGCAATTTTTAGAAATTACAGATACCGGCGGTCTTTTTTAAAGATTGCACCGATACCGATTTTTAAAAAAAATGAAAATCACTGCAAAATCGAGTTTTGTAGTTTAATAAACATATATTACGATACCTATATAACTTATATGATTAAAAGAAAATTTATTAAGTTAATACGGTGACCGCAACAGGGGGTCAAAAAGTGTATCTTGTTCATTACGTGTTTGGTGTTACACGATTAGGCTTTTTTTGTATCGTGCTTTCAATTGACTTACGCTTTTTTTTTTTTTTTTTTTTTTTTTTTTTCACTTCTTCGCTAGTTTTAACGGACGAATAACTATCAAAACATATTCACTTTTTAAATGTCTCTATGACAAAGTATTGACATTTTTTTTGTCACATATATATTACAAATAAAATGTTTATAGTATTAAAAGCCATGGGCTTTATGTGCAAATTTTTGCCACTCAATAAATAGCCGCAACACTTTTTATTGAAATCACCCTCCTTCTTAGATTTTTCTTTCTAGTTTCCCCATTTTTTCCATCTTGTAAAGAGACAAGTTATAGGAAACAAAAGAGTGGTCAAAGGGTCATTGAAAATACCTATCAAACGCACTGGAAGAGTACTCTATGTTTGTGTGTACCGTTCCTGTACGTAATATCTATTGAGTTTAAAAAATCATTATTTATAAATCTAATATTTTTTTTCTTTCTTTTTTTCCTTTTTTCTGTTTTCTTTTTGACAAATGACCATGAAATAGTATGTATAATAATTGATACCATAATTTAACATAAAATTAATCTTTTACAGTTATGTAACTCTGTTTGATGTAGTTTATGAATAATAAATATTGTGTTTGCGTTCATGGTAGATGAACTACATTCTTTTCGAGGTAAGATTTATCGCTATAGTCACCTTCATTCCTGTTATTAATATCAATATATGTCTATAGATTTACTGTACGTTTACTGCTTGTAAATTTAGACCCGGACGACCTGTTTCTTTATTAAGGTATGATGTGTTTTTTTATCTTTTTTATACTCGTTATTAACGTTAGTTCTTATTATAGGTAAGTACCGCCCAGACGCGTTTGTCTATAACAGTTGTAACTACTAGCTCAATAAGTTGGTATGGGCGGGTTAGTTTCGTCTTTCATCTGTAAAACCAATCTGTGCGTTTATTTATTCAAACATTTGTGGCTCTTTTTTTCTTTTTCTTTTTTTTTTCAATAAAATGTCTTTTTTTTATTCAATATATGATGTCTAAATTTTTGGGTTTACAAGGGTAGCAACTCGTGAACTGAATACGTAAACTGTATTATTATCCAATAGAATTATTTGCCAAAACCATCGTTTGTAATCATCAGTATCGGTCCAAAAATGCGACCGATTTCTTACAAAATCTGTCCAAAAATGCGACCGATTTTTTATAAAATCGGTCCAATTTTTGGACCGTTACCGCCGGTCTAACTTTTTCATTTTTTTTTAAAAAATTGGACCGATAAAAAGTTTCACAGTGAATGGATACCTATCTTCTACAACCAAATATACAAATTTCGATAAGATATTCTTTATTTGGGATCGTATTTTATGCATTAGAAAATTAAAGCATAAATGATCAATTATAACTATTATGTTCTACTGCCAATTACACTTGACAAACAAGTATGTATCTTTCAACAGTATCCGTTACACGATCTTACAAAGAAGTGTGCCACTGCACCAAGTATTTGTCAGAATACTCGTGTTCCCGTTTCACACATCTGGGACAACGTTACCTTTAATCAATTCTAACGAGTAGAGTTTAGATAACACAAGAAGGAAGACTAAAATATAGATTTATTCCAAAAACAGAAAGGTTGACTCATCATAAATCCAGGAGATGTTGGCAATATAAAAAGGATTGATTATTTCATAGCAGCAGAGTTCTTTAGTCTATTTTTACCCTAATAAAAATATTCGTTTTATCTCATTATTTTTTACGTGCATTTTATCAAATATCACACTGAGTACCACGTCGAATGGTGTCCATGAGCTTTTTTGAGAATCCAGACTTATGGGACAGAATTGCTGGAAATAACATCTGGACATTGGTGTTACAAATCAATTACTTCTGATTTGATAAAGAAAACAATGGTACGATAGGTACGATTATAAGTCCTTGTTACTTTATTTGATTGAAGTTTTAACTATGAAATAATGGGGTCTATTTATACTCTTTTGAAAGCTGACTGTTATTAGAATTGCTAGTCCATAAATTTATCCTGACTGTTGAATTCTACATGAATTTAAGGTTACGTTGTCGCCGACAGATTGCTTCAATGATTTCTAAGAGCATCCGCAGCGGTTCACTAAAAGTAGTCACTACATTAAATTAGTGCTTATTTTTAGTGAAGTGTGTCCGCAGCGGTTGCATGAAAATATCACTAAAAGAGTTGATGTCAGATGAAATGTCGGGGAAGTCACTGGAAGTAGTGCGAGCACTTTATTAAAAATTAATTTTTCGTTCTTTTATTTTCGTTTCTTTTTCTAAACTTTTCAGTCCAAATGAACACCCAAACTGCCATTTCCATTCGTAGCCCCTCTCCAATTGCAATGGAGAACGAGATTCAAGATGATGGACATCATGAAAACGTCCAAAATGACACGAATACCGGAGATACCCAAGCTATTCAGAATGATATGCGTCCTTCGGTAGCACCTGTTAAAGAGGTCAGAAAAAACTTCTCTAAGGCCGAGGACCTGCAGATCTGTCGATCATATATCGCCTATTGTATTGATCCAATTTCTGGTACAGAAAAAAAGGGTAAAGTGTTTTGGGATGATATCGGCCAACACTTCAATGAATCATTAAGTGAGGATGACTTTGTATGTCATAGAACACCCGACAGTATCAAGACTAGATGGCTGAATCACATTCAGCCTAAGACATTGAAATTCACTGGATATATGCGAAGCACTACCAAGAAAGCCAGTGGTTCAAACTATGCTTACGACGTGAGTGCAATATAACAAAACATGTATCTAATTATGTTAATTAAGCGCAAAATTTAAGGTATCATTGGCAAGTAAACTTTATAGACAAGCACACCGCAATGAAACATTTGTTTTCATGGAGTGCTTTGAATACTTGAGTGCTTTTGACAAGTGGAATCCTGAACCCACAAAGCGGATCAATAAGGCATCCTTGGAGAACTCCAGCAGCAGCGAGCGTCCTGAGGGAAGAAAAAGAGCAAAAGTCTCTAAGGCCGCTTCTTCTGTTTCTGCCGGTAATCAAGACGAATACAAATGCTTGATGGATGAATTGACGGCAATGCAGAAGAAGTCCGATGAGGCGGCAAATTTGCGAGCTGAAAGCCTCAGACTTGAGTTCGAAAAGGAAAGAGAATGGAAGTTGATGACAACTGATCCATCAACCATCACGGATCCCCAACGTCGATCATGGGTACAGCAACAGCAGATCGCGATTATGAAAAGGGATAATCCTGAATATGATTTGATTCAATAAATTTTTATTTTTATTGAAGATTCTCCTAGCATCATCCATTGATGGTCAACAAGGTCCTTTTGAAGTTGGAGATGCATAGGACGATCCATAATGCTCCTCCATTTTTCCAAAAACTGCTCAGGGAGCCCCCCATCTACTTCTCTAAGGGGACTGTACGAGAAAGGGTCAGTTCTCAAATTGCTGATACTGTCCAATTCTTCTTCTTTGTCCCTTTGAAATTCAATGATCATATTGTGGAAAATGATACAAGCCATCATGATTTCTTGGATATCGTCTTTATCCCAACCCATTGCTGGTGTAGCGACGATATTGAAACGTTGCTGAAGTATACCAAATGCACACTCAACATCCTTTCGAACGTTACCGACATTACCGGTAAATTTCTGTCAAAAAAAAAAAAATTAAAATGTGCATTTATAATAGTTGCTGTTGATACGAACCGATTCTTTTTCGTTGGATGGATTTCTATGCCCTTTGACAAACGCAGCATATTGAGGGTAAATACCATCAGTGAGGTAATACCCCATATTATATTGATGGCCATTTATACTGAAATTGACATCAGGTCCTTGACCGTTAGCTACATCTTGGAAAAGGTAAGAGCGGTCAAGGACGTTGATGTCATTCAAAGACCCAGGAAGACCAAAAAAGGCATGCCAAATCCAGCGGTCCTTGGAAGCGACAGCTTCTAGGATGATCGTAGGGACCTTTTCCTTGCCCTTGTACATCCCATGCCAGCCAGTGGGACAGTTTTTCCACTCCCAATGCATGCAGTCCAAAGAGCCTAGCATACCAGGAAATCCTCTCTCCGAATTTTCTCTCAGGATTCGTTCCACATCTTCGTTGGTAGGTGATCGAAGGTATTCCTCCCCGTACAATCGAATAATGGCCTTGCAAAAATGGCGCAAGGCATTTCTACCGGTGGACTCGGCCATTCCATATTGATCATCCAACATGTCTGGTGGAACACCGTAAGCAAGTTGGCGAACAGATATAGCCATTTTAAGAAGACCTGAAATGCTTGATCTCCCAGTTGCATCATTCTTCTGCTTAAAATAGTTATCCTTGTTTTCCAAATCACCAAGTATTCTCAAAAACAATTCCTTATCCATTCTAAAACGACGACGAAAATAAGTGTCTGGATAGGTAGGATTCTCGGTGAAGTATTGCTTAAAGAGTCTTTCGTGCTCCCCTTCTCTGTCCCGGTCAATATGTCTCTTTTTCTCTTTGACAACCTGTTCTGTCTTTCTCTTTTTAAATGCTTGCAATAAAATTCTTTTATTACGGTCTAATTGCAATTGTCTTTGCTTTTCTTCATCCTCAAGGAATTGTGCCATCATGTTATGCTTATTCATGTTTACAAAAGTTAAAGAAAAAAATCAATGCAATTATTTTTTTACCGCTGCGGACTCATTAAAAAAAGGGACTACATTTTTAGTCCGACCGGAAAATGACCCATTTATTCAGTGAAAATTTTAGTGAACCGCTGCGGATGCTCTAATAATATTTTCTATCGGCTCTTCCCTTGTATTCAATGTGTCAGAGTTCCAAATTTGGATAATTTATATAAATTTTGATTACCGATGATTTTTATTGTATGTGGGTTTAGCACAATTGGCAGGAAGCTGTCTAATAACCTTCTCTTCAGTACCTTGGAAGGTTTCCTGACGATGAGTCTGTGCGTCAAATTTTTTACATTTATATCGGTGGTGGGGAAAAATGTTGTAAAAAAAAATGTTGTAATTTCACGGGATTTAGTTTAACCGGATATGCTTAAGCCACTAAATGACTTAGCCGATTTTACAAAAAAAAAAATTACCCCTTTTTTTACCTTTTAATAAACATGTTAAAAGTAACGTTTTTTAAAACACAATTCCCTTTCAACAACGTTGTTGAGACATCCCCTGCACTTTTCTCGGAAGATGCAAATAAGTTTGTCGATGTGACTTCAACATTGGGTGGGCAATGAAGACTGTCAACTCTTATTTTCCCAACAAAAATAAAAAAGTTGCTTTAAAGGATGGCGATCATGTTAACGACCATGGAGTTGTCAAGAAATGTCAAGGATCTATTATGTGTAATAATAGTGCTTGTGCTTTGTACGAAAAGCAATTGAGACCCCCTGTTGAACAGAAATCGATTGCGATCAAGAAGTGTATTCACTGCAACAATGCGCAGTTACCGTGGAGTATTACTTCAGTTTTATTTGATCCCAGTGTACTATGAGCCATAAAGTAAATAAATTTAAGAAGATCGAACACCTGCACTCTTCCTATGTACAAAAACATCTGACCAACGATCAACAAAAAAAGTTCGACCAAATCATTTTGAAGAACCCAGCTGCAACACCAGGCGGCGTTATTGCTGGAATCAGTATGAGATCTGATGAGATTTTAGAAGATGTCGAAGATATCAATCCTGTTCTCCTCAACAGAGAGAGAACAAAGCATGAACTCCAAGCAGCCAAAATTAGAAAGGGCTTGGCTCTCGTCAAAGGAACAGATTTGTTCGAGGAATTTTCGAAGATTGAAGATGAGTACCCTGGATACATCCTCTCAGCGGAATTGGTAGCCTCCAAGTTCTGTATCATTTTCTCTTGCCCTGAAATGGCAATGGCTAAATTGCCATTCGAGAATTATCCCATGATTACGGACGTAACCTTTAAGGCCGTTCCCAACGGTTTCTATCTTTGCTCGACAGTAATCTTTGTGCCTGAGATGAAAAAACACGTAGTAATCTTCCAGGCTATCATCAAGAAGCTTGATGCCCAACAATTTGCTGTTTATTTCAAAGCTTTGTTTGAGAAGTTCGCAATTAAAGCTGATAATTTTTTGGGAATGATTATGGCCTTTTCTCAGGCACAGCGCGAAGGATTCTATCAGGCCTTTAACTCTTCTTTCCCGGACTCAGGTATTTTGCCTACACGCTTGTTGAAGAGCTGCTATATGCATTGGAAGCAATCTGTTCAACGGGTTGTCTCCAACCACTCACTTGTTCCTGCCGAGAAGTCAAACCAGTTTGTCTCGTTGACTTACAAATTGTTGAAGACAACTGTTGAAGAAGTATTCGTTGAGACTGCGCAGTCGATTATCAGGGAGTTCCCTAATGTGCGTCGCTGGCTTCAATGGTGGTTACAGCCCACCATTTCCAGTATGATTTTTAACTGTCGGACTGTTTTGAGTGATGCTCTTCGCAAGCATCCTTCACGCACATCTAATGCAATCGAGTCATACCATAGTGCCTTGTATCGTTTGATACCTACAAGAAAGGCATTAAATGTTAGCTTAAGATTGATTCTTCAAGTATGTAGAAGGGATGGGCGTTTAATCAAAAATTACTACAAGTTCGGCCTGGCCCCTTTTTACACAAAGACTGGCAGTAAGAAAGAATTGCAACAAGCCCGTAGCCAATGATGGTAGAGCCCCAGATTGTGATAAGGCAATTTTTACCTCTCAGAAGAAAAGAAAACTCGAGTCGTTGGATACAAACGTAGATAGCCAGTGCAATGAGATTGTTAATTCTATCAAGAGTACTAAGGATGCAGTTACTGATTCCGAAGACGATTTCGATTTGTATTTTGATCAGATAGATCAAGCATCTGATTCAGAGGTGTCCATTGACCTCAATATTGAAGAGTCTTTAGTAGTTTTTGAGCAGCACAATGATATTATGCTTAAAGCATTGGGAGGTAAATAATAATGTGATATTAAATATTGAACCAAAAACTATAATTAACACTTCATTGCCCAGATATTGTCGATGATCCTGTAACTGAAATGTTCGGTACGGGTATCAGTAATCTTGACATGGGCGAAACCAAAAAAACTCTACAAACGACTTCAAAGGTAGAAAGCGATTTCGATTTTGGTACTGAAGCCATATTACGTGAATTCGATGAAGAAGAAAGACTACTGTGTCAGGAAGAAAAATTAAATATGCCAAAAAAAACTAACACTGTATCTCAATACAAACAGAATGCAGCATCGTTTAACTTAGCTTCCAAGCAGGTCAATGATGGTTTGGTGGTGAAGAAGGGTTTTTTGTCTGCGATCGCAGCAAATAGAAAAAATTCTTGCTTTATTGATGCGACTTTCGAGCTGTTGTGGAATGCTGTCCTGCCTTTTGTCTCCTTGGAAGGTTTGAAATACAACAGATACAATCCAATTTTAATTGAATCGTACAAAAAGTATACTTCCACTGTTGAAACCATGGATCAAAAAAAGCTTGTTGTCAGGGAAGCATCAGCAATGATCAGGGGGTTTGTTTGGGGAATACCCAGTTCCATCGATGATGATAACAGCCCACCCCAATTCACAGACGGTGAACCTGCTTGTGCTATAGAGCTGTTAATGTTGTTTTTCAACAACATGTCTGTTGAGTTTAAAGCACGAATCGGAGGGTTTAAAGACAACGTGAGCCGCATTCATCATTGCTCGGAAACTCACGAACATAATCATATCAGTGATATACGTTTTGTAGATCTTCTGGACATTGATGACTTGATGCGAGACTTCTTATTAGAGACGTAAGAGTGTAGCTCGGAGGAGGAGCAAGAGAAAGAATTTTGTTCCGTTCTTTTACATCATTTAGTTGTCAGAGAGAAGATATTTCCCTGCACATACGAAAGTGATTGTAAAGGAATGGTAACCGCAACAAACGCGATAATTGACTCTCACACACCTCCTTTTCTTTTCATCACCGATCCCACCAATTTTGTGAGACGCCATGCATCATTTTCAAGCAACAGCGAATACGCCAACATTAACCACTCCAACATATATTTTCCAGAAAATATATCATTAACCCAAAACTCTCAATACCAATTACACGGAAGAGTTTACTCTACTTCTTCAACAGGAGATCATTTCTTTACAGTTTGTTACAAAATTATCGATGGTATTAATTTTCTCGTTCGCATTGAAAATCTCGTTAAAGAAATCAAAATAATCACATCAGACATGAACAAAGCCCGGCAAATCATTAAAAGATGCCGTGGAACAGTTTATGCCTGCTACAAAAAAAAACCTTATAGACATTTTCTTTCTTTCTTTCTTTTCTTTTAAAATATATATTATAATCAATAAACATTTAGACAAATTCACTTTGCATTAAATTCATGCACCTGTGAGGTACGTGCCTGAGTGACCGTTTTTCCTATAAATTTCGGTTAAACTAAATCCCGCGAAATTACAACATTTTTTTTACAACATTTTTCGCCACCCTCATTTATATCTGATCGTCATCAAATTAAAACTCCTACAAATTATAATAAATTAGCCACTTTCTTTAAAACACAAAAAAAAAAAAAAAAAAAAACCTACTTTTCTTCACAAATAATTCTACGCGCTACGGGATTATCATTATAACCTTTGATTGCAACATCTTCAGTACCACATTCTGGACAGACAAGTTTTTTGAATCCTTGTCCAAACAGAAGGTGAGGCAACCAGACAAACACGTCATGCTCATACAACTTTCTAGGACTAGTCTCCCCTGACAGAACAAAATGGAATTCATCAGATTCTTTTGGCATCCACAATGCTCCTTTACGATAACCTGGAGGTCGATTCTAAAGACCGCCATTTCTTTCAATCGCCTTCTTTACTTTTCGAAAGCTTTACAACCAAAACTCCCTTCGGGATCTACACGAAGCTCGATCTCTTCCGATAAAATCTCGACCTCATTAATGTCATGAAAGACCTGATCTTCAGTAGGATCCAAATCAATAAATACGTCTTCGTCACCGTCAATGGGGGTAAATTCAGCTTCTTCTGTCGAGATAGGGTAAGTTTTAGAAATTTTTATGGTAAGTTACAATTTTTGTTTTATTGGGTTTCATGACTTACCATAGCGGATACAGTGGATGATGTCGAGCGTGTATCATGGATAATGTCAATATTTGTAGTATGATTTGAAGATGTACTGGATAAAGTTTCAACAACTGAAGTCGATGGATTTGATCCAGAGGTAGATTCGATGATGGGAGTAGGGTTTGATAAAGATGAAGAGGCGGAATCATTGCTGTTATACTTTGGAACGAAAAAACTGTTTAGATTACGTTGCTTAGATTTTCCTTTGGCATTTGTCCTTTGATTATTAGGGTTGGACATTTGATAATAAGTCAAGGTTGGTAAATAATATAAATGCTGCTACAATAATTAGGTCAATATACAGTAGGAAGATGATATGTTAAATTAAAAAAAAAAATTGTGTACCTAAATTTGTAATACTTGAACAAATGTGACTAGAGATAAGGGATAATCAGTATTATGATCAAAAGCAATTAAAAATTATGTTGCCTTTACGCAAAAATAAAAGAAATTAACAAAGTAAAGATATTTGCTATAAAAATAAAGTGGTATTTATACTGAAGGTCAATAAGCTGTCAGGAGTAGCTATACTTAGAGAAATAATAATAATAAGAAAGGTGTTTAAAATAATTTTTAAAAGTTACTGCAAAGTAGTATAAAGTTTAATATAAAACTACAGGTGATTGTAAAGAAGAAATTTCTTGATCAGGAAGGAAATTTGTTTCAACCGCTTTATTGTTTATCTTAAGAAAACATTTATATGTACATCGTGCCTGATTTAGGCCATTATAAAAATAAGTGTATGTTCCTAGATTTACAATATGACAGCGGAATAAATAGATCCGATCTTTAAAACAAGTACCGCTTAAAAAAGTATAAAGGGTTCAGTTATAAGGAATTACGCTCCATGATTTAATTGTCTCGATACAAAACATTGACACAGTCTAGTATTCTAGGTGGCCTGAGTTGTTATGATACTTAAGCAACGCCAAACACATAGAAACAGCGCTACGGTTATTCTGGTATCATAATTGGCTTATTTTATTCCCAGTTACCTTAATCATAACAGCGAAGATTGGCTAATATTCAGTTCCGCTACCGTAACGATAGGCTATTATTTATTCTTGGCTGTCCAGCCATCATTACACCGCCAATATTACTCTTGTCATTTGATGCTTTAACTGTTGATCACTCTGACTAATATTTATATACTCAGTATGGAAGGGCTATAGTTAAAGACGTGTTGATTATTTACTATCACCAGATTATTACATCATGGTCCAATAAGGCGCTTAATATTCTCCCTAGAACTATCCCAGTTCTTTATATAAATATCCATAGTTTTTTCTCATAGACCATGAATACATTTTTATATACGTTTTTAATTATACTTTTTCGTCCATAATAAAGTGGTATCCAAGTTCTAACAGTATCACTTTTGGTTTATTTTTATTTTGTTCTCCATGCAAAACAGTTCCATCATTTCGAGTCTTTGATTGATGAGAGGAACGGCTGTTCTCAACTGCATATTCACAAGATCGTTCCCCTCACTTTCAATGACAGCAGCTTGAAGATCACTAAATAGGTCATAAATTTAATATTAGAAGATTGAAACATGATTCAGAAGAATTATATTACCTGCTAAATTGTCTAAACAACTCATCATCAAAAAGCGGATTAATAAAAATGGGGTGTCCGGGGTACTTCTCTCTCATGAAGACTGCATTTTGAAGAAACGTAACTCTAAAGGTCACAAACATTTTCAAGAATGATATAGCAGAATTAGAGGTTTCTGCAACACCAGTACGGATTTTTCCCAACCATTCATCAGCCCAAGGAAAGACCTTCTGTTGTAATTCGACAGGAGGTTCCAAAATTGCACGGGGCAAATAAAAATGTCCTTGGGTTAAAGGGAAACCAGCCGAGGTTCTCATAGTCTCTCTTGGGAGACCGGTCAAGTAGGCACCATTCATAGAACTGTTATTCCATCGACCTTGTCTTCTAATTCGCTCCTCGCCAACACCAGCCAAGTAAGCCATTCTTGCACCTGACCCTCTTCCAATATGTGTTACCTTGGTGGTGTTGATGACATCAACGGCCACGATTGCCTTCTTAACTGCATCATAGTCGGAGCTATATTTTCATTCGGTGGTGGGGTTGATACCTGTCTTAAGAACCTTAACACCAAACCATTTACCTGACGTTGTGAATGTCAAAAGTGGCTCATCTTCGTTATGAAACCTTTGAAAATGTAACTGCTAAACATCATGATTGGACAAAGCTCTACAATCGTGTTACGTATGCAACCTGAGAGTCCAGTCTTGCCATGCTTGTTGGTTTTTCTGTTGTTCATTACCATGATAAGAGCGGGGCATTTGGTAGGACCTTCATTTTGAAGATGAATCATCTGAATATCAGCAAGTTCGGCAGCTCTGGCATTTTGGCCACGAAGAAGCAAGTAATGCGATAAGAAGAACGCCAGGCAATTGCGCAAATCCTCAGATGTTCTCAACTCAAAGTAGTAATCTGAAAACTTGACGAGTTCTCCCATGGTACTATAACCGTCGCTATATGTGTTGGAAGCACGGTCGACGTTCTGCTCTCTTTTCGTTTTGTTTTCCATACGTTTATGAGCTTGCAAAAGATCGGTAACGAAGGGACGGGGTTCTTGTTGGATTTTGCACCAAGCTTTACTTGCTCTCGGTACACTGACATAATAGCTGATACCTATTGTTCTATGGCAGTATACTTTAAGCTTTCTGGCTCTTTACCCTTACGTGTGGTCTTAGTTTTGCGTGAAACAACCTGTGGTATAATAACTTATGAGTTTTTTATTTTTATTTTATTTTTTATTTTTTATTTTCTATTTTTTATTTTTTATTTTTTATTTTTTATTTTTTATTTTTTATTTTTTATTTTTTATTTTTTATTTTTTATTTTTTATTTTTTATTTTTTATTTTTTATTTTTTATTTTTTATTTTTTATTTTTTATTTTTTATTTTTTATTTTTTATTTTTTATTTTTTATTTTTTATTTTTTATTTTTTATTTTTTATTTTTTATTTTTTATTTTTTATTTTTTATTTTTTTTATTTTTTTAATTTTTTATTTTTTTGACAGATTCAATCTCGAGGCTTACCTTTTCCATTATAAACAAATTTAATTTAGTTCCAAAAAGTAAATATCTTGTTGGATCAGTCTCGGCAAAGTTGGCCTCACACCAAGATCCGAATTCTTCTATCAATCTAGTATAACATTTATTCGTAGCTTCAGATCCAGATTCTTTGGTCAGTTGTGCAGTTCTTTGTTGAACTTGATGCATACGGAAAATCATTTCAGAGCTACCGCTTTGGGGGTAGCTAAGTGTCAATTCAAAGTCATTAATGTCCATTTTGTATTGTATATAATAAGGTAGTTAAAGACAGAAAAACATAAAACAAAATTATTTATTTATAGGTACACGAAATTAAATAAAATAAAGTTTTAGGCCAATCAAATCAAAAGGATGTTGAATATACAGTATATATTTCCGGTGGGGATGCAATTTTGGTGCACTATCCGGATATATCCCCAGCCAAATGGCTTAAGATATGTTCTCCATATTTTTGGATCTGCTAATTGTGGCAGCAGGCCCACCAAAAATCATGCAAAGTGCTTCTTGTTTCATTGCACTGTGTAACCACATAAGAACTAAAGCAAGGATCATCTCGGTGTTAAAAACTCTTTTACTTCCAGTCTTGCATACATTAAGATATTCTATCAGGAATTCTTCGTATAACTCATCAAATGATGCAGTGGTCAAACCAAGATGACACATGTAAGCATCATCTTGACGAGCCATAATCAATTTTCTAGCGGCTGATTTGGAAGGTTCATGTAAACTTTTGGATGTTGTGTAGAACTGTTTATTAATACGACGTCCAGATTTAAGTACGTTCATGTACTGAAAAGCCGCAGCAGAAAAAATAGCAATATGTGTATACAGTAATAATGTACGTTTGATTACTGGAGGTATTTCAAATATATAATAAAAGTGTTTAAAAAAGTTTATATGGAAAGAAGGGGTAGGGGGGTGGAAGATTGTATTCAGTCCCAACAGACCCCGTCCCAATAGATTTTCATCACATATAGTCACAACATAATGATAGGTCAAAAGAAGTCTGAAAAAAGAAGTCTGAAACATTATGAGATTCGCTTAACGACGAGCTATAAAAAATGAGTTATGATAATTGAGGATAAAAGGAAAATGTAAATTGAAAAATAAAGCAAGTAAAGAAATGAGACTCTATTGTGGTGATCAACCTACTGTTGTTACTAATCACACCATAGAACAATATTAAAATTAAATCTCATTTCATCATCGCATACATTATTACATCACAACACGAACTAATTTCTTATGCATTATATCATATCCAACTACAGGCACTATTTTAAGGCTATGTAACTTATTCATCAAACTAAATTCATAATCCGATTTCTCTTAACATATATTAATGTGCAAACTGATAGTTAGAATAGAACCCTCTCAATCTTTGAATCTATTTTTTACTTTTAATAAAGCTTGTAAGCAGTCTCAAAGTATTTTATTGTTTTTCTTTATTTTATCTCTATACTCCACTTGTGGTATTTGACAAAATATTACATAGAAAAGTAATGAGATAAAAGTATATTTTTATTAGAGGTAAAAAATAGACTAAAAGAACTCTGCTGCTATGAAATAATGGATCCTTTTTATATTGCACAACTCTCCTGAGTTTTAATGATGAGTCAACCTTTCTGGTTTTGGAATAGATCTATACTTTGTTTCCCGCCTTGGGTTAAATAGATACTAGTTACTCGCTAGAATTGTTTCCAGTTAACGCTGTCCCATATCAGTGGATCGGGAGCATGAATATTCTAATAAATTTTTAGTATTACGAGACACTTATTTATCAGATCATGCAACGGTTACTGTAAAAGATGCATACTTGTTTGTCAAGTGTAATTGGCAATAGAACATAATAGTTGATTATTTATTCATTATCTTTGTAATGAATAAATTACGATCCCAAATATAAAATGTCTTATCGATATTTCTATATTTGGTTGTAGAAGCTAGGTATCCATTAATTCATATACTATTTCTTTATACTCTTTATCAGCAGTATAACTATATCAATATGTAAGTAAATGAACCATTTATATTAATAGCTGTTCTATTCTCTCTTTGGGTAGCTAATCCATTGAGAGAACTATTAATATTAAGTTTCTCTTTCTTATAATTCTTGATTTGATCTGAGAAGATTCTCTTCTCGATC